AGCAAGAAAAATAAAGTAAAAGATGGCTAATACCTGTTAAAATGCTGCAGAAGCCAAGTATTTTTCTATTGTGTCTGTATCACATGATATCGATTCTCCTCTGCATGATTCTTGGAATAATATCACTCACAAGTTAAGATCTTACATTTAAGATTTTTAAGCTCTAGCTGAATAATGCTGGATAAGTTAGAAAGTCCTAATAGTGAACTTAAAAAGAAATGTTGACAGGGCTTGGATTCTCATCGTGCTGGTGGGTACCATGATTATAATGGTTTCCTTTAAAACTCTTCCATTTAATGTTCCAAACATTGGAATTTGTAGTTTTTCCTTTGGTCTAGAGATCAAAAACATGAACAATTTTGTATTTCTTAGGCTGGACGGCCTTTGTGTTTCCACAATTTCTGTGGGAAAGCAATCCACTCTTTCTCAATTTTATTAAAACCACCATCTTGGCTCCACTAGGTGCCATTATAAGCACTTTCATTATGTCTCATATCTCCTTTTAGGAAGTTGAACTCTGCTTATTGCTTTTCTTTTTTCTTATTGGTTTTTAAAAACTACATACTGTAAGTGAAAAATGGTTTAGAAATCAAAGATAGAGTAACACATGAGGTTGAAAAGGTATTGTGAGAGACAGATTATTTGAGGTCAAACCCTTCTGCCATTTAGTATCTTTGTGAGTTAGGCAAGCTGTATGACTCTAGGCCTTATTTCCCTCATCTGTAAATTGCATATATTAATAGTATCTGCCTTGTGAGGCTTTTGTAATAATTAAATAAGGTAACAAATGTGAAGTGACTGGATCACAGTAAATTCTCAACAGTTGGTGCCATTACCAGATTATTTAGTTATGTATTTAATTGGGGGTATATTCACGGGGTCGGACACGACTGAGCGACTGAACTGAACTGAACTGATATTGGACTGGGGAGCTATTCCCTTCTCCGGGGACTCTTCCTGAGCCAGGGTTCAAACCCAGGTCTGCAATGCAGGAGACCCAGATGCAATCCCTGGGTCAGGAAGATCCGCTGGAGAAGAGAACAGCAGCCCACTCCAGTATTCTTGCCCGGAGAATTTCATGGACAGAGGGGCCTGGCGGGTTATAGTCCATGGGGTCACAAAGAGTTGGACATGATTGAGTGACTAACACACACACACACAGTTGCTTTATGATATTGTGCTGGCTTCTGATGTACAATAAAGTGAATCACCTCTGTGTAAACATGTATCCCCTTGCTCTTAGGCCTCTCTCCCATCCCCCTCCATCCCACTCATTTAGGTCACCAGGAAGCAATGAGCGGAGCTTCCTGTGCTATTATAGCAGATTCCCACTAGCTATCCATCTTACACTTGATAGCATATCTATGTTGTTCTATTTATTTAGAAATATTACCTAGTAGCAGTTACTGTCTTACTCAGAAAGCTTTATTTTATAACAGGTATATTTTAGTGTTTTTGTTTTCAAATAAGATAAATTAAACTTTATTCATTCAGCAGCTCTTTATTGGGTACCTACTATGTGCCAGTTGACTAAACACACCTTCTTCTGTTATAAATTATGATGTTTGCCTTTGGCTTTTTCTGTTTTGTTGTTTTTGTGGTTATCAGATTATGGAAGTTCGTCCATATTCCTAATTTGCTAAAAAGTTTTTCTACCGTGAATGAACATGAGTTTTATCAAATGATTATTTTTTCCTAGCTCTTTTGAGATGACCATATGAGTTTTCAGGCTTCCATGGTTGCTCAGTTGGTAAAAGAATCAGTCTGCAATGCAGGAGATACAAGTTTGATCCCTGGGTTGGGAGGATCTCCTGGAGAAGGAAATGGCAACTCACAAGGGTATTATTGCCTGGGAAGTCCCATGGACACAGGAGTCTGGCAGGCTACTGTCCATGGGATGGCAAAGAGTTGGACATGACTTAGTGAGTAAATAACAACAACATATGAAAAAACATTTCTCTTTTTCTTTCAGTTTGTTGAATTTTATTAAAAGATTTTAAATATTAAATCACCTGGGCACATTTAGTGGAGACAAATCTTAGTTTTGATATTTATCCTTTTGATTTGCAACTGAATTTAATTTTGTGCTTATATTTTGTGTCATGAATTTTATATATGTGTTCAGAGGAGAGATTTGCTTGTTATAGTTGTATTTCTTTCATACAAAATTCTTGTTCAATGTTGATATCACGTGCTGCCCTCACAAAATGAGATTGGAAATATTTCCTTATCTCTTTTTTTCTGGAAGCCTTTGTGTTAGATTGGTGTTATTTCTTCCTTGAAGGTTTCAAGGCATCACTGATGTAACCCAGGTCTAGAGTTTTCTTCCTGAGAGAGAAATTAGAGATTTAATTTCTTTCACAGGTACAGTGTTATTGAGATTTTTCATTTTGTGTGTGTGTCAATTTTTGTTCCTTTTTTCCCTTCCTTCCCTCCTCCTTTCTTTGAAGACTAGTAGTTGCTGGTTTTGGTTCAGCGTCTCAAGGGTATCAGATCCAAGTTCTCTGTGATTCTCTTCATATTTTCCTTGTGGTTGAGTGGTGGCTGATGTGGCTGAAGCCACCATATTCAAGTCTCAGGTTGGAAATTAATGGAAGCAACTCATAGCAACTAGTGGAGTCTTTATGAAGAATGCAAAACTTTCTTTAAAGATTTAGCTTTCTGTCTCTCTGGCCAGAACTGTGTTTCATGGCCCTCAACTTACTGCAAGGAAAGCTGAGAAATGCTATCTGGACACATTTCTGTTCCCACAATGCAGGTTCTGTTAGGAAGGGAGAAAGGAAAACAGATTGTGTAGACAACTATCTGTGAAGTGTGACATTAGATGTGATTCTTAGGAAGATATCTGTGGGCACTATCAAAGGTGATTTGGAGCTAGATGACTTGGTTAACATATTCTCCTAAATTTAGTGGTCATGATATCTAGAGATTATTATATTGATGAAAGATATGAAAGTGATATTAATGATGACTTATAGTATAGTGATACCTCTGGGATGTTTTAAGTTTTTTTCTATTTGAAAGAAGTTACTAAGAAATAATTAACAATAATAATTACCATCTAAGAAGCATGTCTCACCCCACTCCAGTACTCTTGCCTGGAAAATCCCATGGATGGAAGAGCCTGGTAGGCTGCAGTCCATGGGGTCGCAAAGAGTCGGACATGACTGAGCGACTTCATTTTCACTTTTCGCTTTCATGCATTGGAGAAGGAAATGGCAACCCACTCCAGTGTTCTTGCCTGGAGAATCCCAGGGATGGGGTCACACAGAGTCAGACATGACTGAAGTGACTTAGCAGCAGTAGCAAGAAGCATGTCTTGGTAATGTTAATTCATTTCATTTCATTCATTGCTTCATCATCACATGGTTATTGGGCACCTCTGTGTGCTAGGGGCAGAGCAGTGAAAAAGATAGGCCAGTCCTATTTTCACAGAGTCCAGCTGGGGAGACAGGCAGTTAGCAGGGGACCCAATCAGAAATATTATTATGTTTTATACTATGGGAGTTCCCTGGTGGCTCAGTTGGTAAAGAATCTGCCTGCAATGCAAGAGATCCAGGTTCAATTCCTGGGTTGGAAAGATCCCCTGGAGAAGGAAATGGCTACCCATACCACTATTCTCGCCTAGAGAATTCCATGGACAGAGGAGCCTGGTGGGCTATAGTCGTTGGGGTCGCAAAGAGTTGGACATGACTGAGCGACTAACACTTTCACACATGGGATACTAGGGAAGACAGAGTGATGAGATAAAGTCACTGGGGTGTGAGGGGTCAGGTGCTATTTCAAATAATGTCACCAGGCCGGAAAAGCCTGTCTGCAAAGGTCTTTGAGTTGAAGGGTGAGAGTGAGCTGAGTGTGAAAAAAGCCAGAGTGTATGTGTTAGGGTGAAGTGAGAAGAACAGATGCAAAGAGAGGCAGAAAAGAGCCAGAAATAAGGACCTGAGGCTGGTGTGGGTGCGCCTGGGAAGAGCAGTGGGGTAACTGGTGGTGAAGGAGGCAGGGGTCTTTCCCAGAGGGCCCATTGGGCCGTTGTGTAGGAGCCAGTGGAAGACTTTAAGTCATAAAGTCGGCAATCTGGTTTATGTTTACAAAGGTCCTTCTGATTGTCGTCTGAGAAGGACTGGAGAGAGGCAAGGAGGAAGGGAGACCAGTTAGGAGGACCAGTTAGGGGGTTAATGCTCTGGCCGAGGAGAGAGCTGGTGCTCTGGATGAGAAGGATTTCAGAGGAAATGGAGAACACTTGGAAGTGTATGGCGGGGCAGAAACGGATGGTGCTTGCCTATGGATTACACAGGGGGATTAGGAAAGGCCTTGTTTCTAAGTATTTTTAGAACTTTTTAGTTTTTGTGTTATCTGTAAACTCCAATGGCAGCATCCTAACTGGGTTCTTCCAGTTCTTCTTAACTCAAACTTCATACATTAAAATGTTAATATCTACTGGGATAACTGTTTTCTTTTATCCTTTAATTAAAAACAGCAACAACAGCAGAAAAGGATTTTTAACAGAACAATGATTCCAGCTTGGTATTTGCCCTTGAAGATCTTGCCTGTGTCCTTTATCCTAAGGGAAATTCCTCCTTTCCTGTTTTTTTCTAGTTTACAGAAACAAATATCCAGAAAAAGATATATCATATAGTTTTTTTTTTTTTAGTAGAAAAGAGATTAAAAGAAAAGAGCAACAGCAACATCTTTCTCATATTATTTGTATATATTACTGTAGAATTTAATGACTTGAAGAAAAGCAAATGGTTTTTTTACGTAACTTTATTTGAAATAAACTTAATCTATACTAGTGAGTCCCTCAATTTAATGTGCACATAAATCACATGGGGGTCTTGTGGAGATGAAGATTCTGACTTAGTAAGTCTGGGTGGGCCAATGTTTGCATTTCTACCAAACTCCCATCTGGCCCACAGACCACACTTGAATAGGAAAGATGTTAACTTTTCTCCAAATGGGCATTGTCCCTGCTCTTAATCACCTATAATTTTATTCTTCAGGGTTCCAAGATCATCAGATTGGAGAAACTGACCCATTGGAACTTAAAACATACTTGGTAAGTAGGAGAAACAAATAAGGAATTTTTTTTCTTTCTGGAATTTATTTCTAGGTTTATAATTCACATTCTGTTCGGCCTAAGAAAGCCTGGCATATTGATTGTTGTCTGGTATGTTCTTTACCCTAATGACTAAGAATTTAATTACATTCCAAATTGTGACTATTTCCCTAAATATTCCCAGCTGCTTTCAAGATGAACTCTATAACATTACTAGAAATAGGCTCTGTGGCCTTTTTGGGAAGTCTGCAATATGATCATATGATCCCAAATAGCTTTATTCAACATGTGATGTTAAGAAGACCACAGAATTTTAGAGTATCTTTTCAAGTTAGCATTAATCATATGCGGTTTTCTTCTGAAAGCATTTCTTTCAAAATGACCCACATTTTGAAAAGAAAAAAACTCATATCAGTTTAGATGAGATATTGATGGAGAGGATTTGATTCAGAAACTTTATCTAGAAATAATAGATTAAATTTTTTCATTATTTTTATTATTATAAAAAAGCACAGACTACTGAAACATTAAACTTTTTATAGAACTATATTGCTTAAAAAATTAAGTTAGGTCTAATCCCAGTCCTAGAGATGTGTGTACGTGTGTTAAGTCACTTCAGTCGTGTCTGACTATTTGCAATAGTTTGGACTGTAGCCTACCAGGCTCCTCTGGCCATGGGATTTTCCAGGCAAGGATACTGGAATGGGTTGCCATTTCCTCTTCCAGGAACCCTAGAGGTAATAAATGTTAATACTCTAGTATCTATTTTTTTTCTACATTTCTTCTATGCATTACTAATATTAAATGAGTATATATACATATAAATGCACCTATATTTTATACAGGAATTAGACTAGGTCATAATATTGTTCCATAATTTCCAGACAGCAGTACTGAATGCTTAAAACCACAATAGATGAAATCTTTGGTATGTTTTCTTTTCACATGGAAATAATAGATTTTAATATCTTCTATGTCAATAGTTTTTAGGTATATACTATCAAACTACTTGTAAACCAAAGGGGAGGGCTTATTTAAGTAATAAGCTTTATTACTAAGTTACAAGTGCCACTATGATGTATAAGAGTACATAAAATTGAAGTCAAAATTATTTTATCAAAATATGTTTTTTACAAATTGCTAGTTTCTAAATACCCAGAATATAATTTTTAACAGAAATATGACCTTTGAAAACCTTGTAACTCCAAAAAGTAGGCTAATTTTAAAGGCATTTGATGACCTAATTATTTAAATGCCATTCAAATTGGGATTTACAAAAATATATATTTAGCCAAGAAGTATTTACTTAGCTGAAAACAGGAGCAAGAGATTCTCCCTGCTATTATAATATTATTCAATTTTTTCTAAGCCCTCTCCATTTTCTGCCTCTTCTACATTTTATTTTATACATACAAAATTTTCTGTAAATGTAAATACTTACATAGTACATTTAAAAAAGTATGCCTATGAACCCATCATTTCTATAAGAATTAGAAAAATGCCAAAAATCTTTTTATTCTTTCCTTATCCATCTGTTTCTTTCTAAGAGGTAACCTCTTTGCTGAATTTTTCATTAATCATTCTCTTAAAAATTACCACATATACACATGAATTGAAATAAGATATAACATAGCTATATTTTTTAAGCTTTATAAAAATGGTTTCATACTTATCTTTCTAGTATTTTTCTACTTGCTATTATTTCTATGATAATACACATTAGTGTCTGTAGTGGTAGGTCATTTCTTTTCATTGCTGTGTGATATTAACTTTGTGATTGTATCAAAATTTGTCATTTTAGAAACGGAGATTTGATTTTCCAGTTTTTACTGTTATTATGAAACATACTTCTCTAAACATTCTAATATACTTCTGATGCACAAATAAGGAGATTTTTTTAGGTTGTTTATATTTTGGAATGGAATTGCTGAATCATAGCAAGTGATCAGCTTCTCAAGATAACATGAAGTTCTTTTCCAAAGTACAATTTTTTGTTTCCACAAGCAGATCAATTCCCATCGATCCATCTCTTGGTTTTGTTATTTGTCTCAACTTTTTAAAAATAGGTATAATTTTATTATCTTAATTTGAAGTTACTCAACTATTGCTAGAGTTGATAATTTTTTATACATTTATTGACAATTTGTGTTTTCCCCTCTATAAAATGGTGGTTTATTCATTCTTTTGCTCATTTTTGTATTGAGTTATTTTTTTTCTTATGTTTCATTTTTCATTTAAGGACTTTATTATTTACTTTTTTTCCTAATTTTTTAAAAGGGAATGCATTTAATGCTGTGTTAGGTATGGATTCTCCTTCTAGTAATGGCAGAGTAACTCAGATCAGATCAATCATTCCAATGAGAACATTATACACATAAACAATATATACATAAATCTGCAATATATGCATAATTTTATATCCATATATGTAGTTGCATACACACATATTGTGTGTGTGCGATTCTGTGTATGTGTGTATGTGTGTGTGTGTGTGTGTATATCACAACTATCTGAAGCTATTTGAAGGCAAAAAAAGGTGGGTAGAAATGAAGATGTATTGATACTCCAAAGAAGAGAATAGCATTAGGTGAGTTTCCCATATTCCCACTCAACATTATTTTCAGGGTTACCATAGTGACTGGGCTTCCTTTGGCGCTAGTTGTAAGGAAGCCGCCTGCCAATGCAGGAGACAATAGATGCTGGTTAGATCTCTGGGTTGGGAGGATCCCCTGGAGTAGGATATGACAATCCACTCCAGTATTCTTGCCTGGAAAATCCCATGGACAGGGGAGCCTGGCGGTCTACAGTCCATAGGGTCGCAAAGAGTCGAACATGACTGAAGTGACTTTGTACTTAGCACAGAGATTGGAGAGCGAGGGTGAAAATCTTAGAAAGGAGAGAAACACATTGGGAGAGCTCAAAATTCTTTGTGTTAACTCTATCTGAATATCTGGTTGGCCTCTGAAGTATGCGTGTGTGGTAGAGGGCAATCCTAATGCTGAAAGGATTGAATAGATTTTAGCAGTTGGCCACCACAAGGCAAACAGAATTTGGACTTTGAGTTTTCCTAGGTATTTTCCTGCTAAAACAAACCAACAAATCATTTCTACTCTTCAGAGAAATGTAACATATTCTCTACAAGAATCAGGATGCAAAACAAAATGACTAAATATATGAAGAGAACAGAGAAGTGACACCCATACTCAAGAGAAAAAGTAATCAGTAGAGCCTTACTCCAAGAAATTGTAATCTGCAGACAAGATTTTAAAGCAACTGTTATAACCATATACAAATGTAAAGAAAAATATGATCACAATAAGTCAGTAGAGGAAGTTTCAACAGATAAATACCAACCCGATTTGTACAAACAAAAAAGAACCAAATGGAAATTAGAGAACTGAAAAAACACAATCTGAAAGGGAAAATAAGTTGCCAGATGGGCTTAAGAGAAAATTGAAGATGACAGAAGAAAAAGCCAATAAACCTGAAGACAGCTAATACTAATAATTCAGTTTGAATCTAAATAAAGAGAAAAAAAGATTTAAAGTAAAAATGAACTAAGACTCTGTCACTTGTAGGATAGAATCAGAAGGTCTAATGTGAATAAAAGTGGGGTCTGAAAAGGACATGGGAAACAGTGCAGGAAAAAGTTCCTGCAATGAACTAAAAAGTTCCCATATTTGATGGAAGATATATTTGGTTTTGTTACCAAATCCTGCCAGTTTTTTGGTCAGAAATCTCTATGAACCCAGCCTCTCTTTACCATTCTCCTACCTTAGTTAGCATATTCGGTCTCTAGATCAAAGAGAATGATGGAAGACAGAGCAGTTTCTCTTTGGTGATCGACAAGCCAACTGCTGGGGTTGAATTGTGTTCCCCCCAAAAGGTATGTTGGAGTCCCAATTCTTGGCACCTGTGAATATGGCTTTATTTGGAAATCAGTCTTTATAGATGTAATCGAGTTAAGATGAGTTCACACTGTCAGTGTGGGCACTAATCTAATGACTGGCATCCTGGTAAAAAGAGGGAAATTTGGACCCAGACACAAACAGGGAAGAAGGCTGTGTGAAGACAGAGGGAGAGGTTAGAGTCATGCATCTTCAGACAAGCCAAGGAATACCGAGAATTGCCAACAATCTCCAGAAACTAGGAGAGACTAGAAAGGACTCCTCCCTTGGAGTCTTCAAAGAGAGCATGGCCTTGAGAACACCTTGATGGACTTCCAGCCTCCAGAACTTGAAGGGAATACATTTCTGCTGTTTTAACCCACTCAGTTTGTTATTCCAGTCCTAGGAAACTAACACTTCAAGCAGTAGAAAAAGAATCATCCAAGCTTTAAGATGCAGACAAGCAACCTTTCTGCTCCAGATCTTTCCAGATCTAAACAGGAGCTGTCTCTCTCCCAGCCTCTAGGACAGGTAGCATTTCAGTCTTCTAGTACAGTCCTTCCTGTGCAAGCGCTACAGAACAAATAAGGCTTCTGTCATGAGACACTGGCTGGCAGCTCCCATCCTTCCCCGAGGGTGTCCACAGGTCTCCTGGGGCAAAGTCTGCTCAGGCCCTGCAGAGTCCAGGTTGTCACCCAGCCTCCCCACCTGAGGCCTGCCTGCCTGCCTGCCAAGACGAGGACACAGTGCCTGACCTCATGTGCACCCGGCTCTTCGAGCCTGCCCTCTGTAGCTCGCTCATCGTGTCCCCAGAATGGAAAAGTGAATTATTGACTAGGAAGGAAGAAAGTACTTTGGAATAGGATAGGACTGTACTTTGAAATATATGTGTACACAGACATATATGCTTGCATATATGTGAACATGAATTTGTATATTTTACTTCCTTCTTCAAATGCTTTTACAAGCTTCCTATTTTTTTGGTGAATAAAATCTAAGATAAACTCTAAGCTTGGCATTCGAGATCAGCTGCTCTGTTACCTGGCAACTCCTTTTATGTATTCTGTAATCTAGCTGAACTCTTTGATTAAATGCTTCCCATCTTTCAAAACC